GAGGAGAGAAAGCCCAGAAAATGGTACATCAAGGACTGGGATTGGGAAGAGATCCAGGTGGTGGACAAACAGAATAATAAACACATAAATTCAGGAAAGAAATTATCAAATTAGAATATTAGGGTTTGAAAGGATCATAAAAGTCATCTAGTCCAAACCTCTGTGTCAGGCCTGTCCCAGCTTGGGCATTTAGGAAAGATAGACCCTCGACTCCATTTGTAGTGAAAGGTATTCTTTTACTAAAAGCCAAGTGGTTACAGCATAAGCAAAGTCAGATCTGAAGATTCCCACGTAAACCCCGTAATTTTCCCTTCTCCCAGGCCTTCCCCCCACCCCCGGTCATTCTGTTAGTATCCAGTAAGGTTCAAATTAGGTGTTTTGGTAACAGTCCTAAGGGTTGGCGCCTCTTTGGTGGGCGTTCGCATTCCGTTCTCGTGCCTATGTCCTTGGATATTTCAACCGTTGTCTCTGGACGACACTTCTGGTTCCTGTCATCCCCCCTTCCCATGCTTTATGGCAATCTGCCATTAAAGCAGAGCTGAAGTGGTGTGATGGCAGATCTGACACTCTGCTCAACGCAGGATCCACTGAGTGGCACGCACACACGCGAGCGCACAGCTCCACTTGCCCACCACTCGCGCAAGTAGAGCTTCGCACGCACATGCTTGCCCACCACTTATGTGAGTGGAGCTTCATGCACGCACGCGCTTGCCTATCGCTCACACGGCCCGGTTTCAAACAGGTCATGGCCTGATAGTGGGGCGCGGTCTAGGGGTCGGGGACTCCTGCACTAGACCATCTCTGGCAAGTGACCACTCAGCTTCTATCTGAAGATTCCTGGTGAAGATTTCTCACTGCTTTATTTGGCAGCGTGAATTTTTACACAGCCCAAAAGTTGCCCCTGACATCTAGTTTGAACCTTCTACTTTGGCGTCTTAACTCACTAGTTCTAATCTTGTATTAGAAAATCGGACAAAAGAAAATAACTCCATGCTAGCTTACCTCCCATCATTCACATATAGGTAAAATCCCATGAAATTAAAAAACGTTTTATTCATTTTATACCCGAGTAGAGCCATGAGATGCAAAGAAGTCTTCTTCTTTCTCTTGAGGTGATAAAGGAGGGGCTCCGCAGCCATCTATCCATAACTAAAATATACAATATTATAAGCCCAAGTGAGAGTCTGCCAAGATTCTTTGCTTTTTGTTTGTTTAAAATGCTCACGCTACATTGTCCATCTGTTTCCTAAATGTAGAAAAAAAACTGTACCACCGGTTTTCTGAAACCATTACACAATACTGGACAAATGGGCTGCGGACAGGATGAAATGGGTCATGCTTGTAATTATAAAGCTTTAAGCCAGCGGTTCTCAACCTATGGGTCGCGACCCCATTTGGGGGTCAATCGACCATTTCACGGGGGTCGCCAAGCAAGGCTGTCCACCATTTTTTTCCCCTTTTCCGGTGGGTGCCTTACCTCCCTTGAGCTGGGCCAGCTGGTGGTCGGCCTGCTCCGTCTCTGCCGCTTGCCAGCTACGCCTCGGCCGGCGCAGGGGGCGGAACCACGCATGCGCGGCGCTCCCGGGCAGGGAAAGTCCTCGACTTACGACCGGTTGGGTAGTCCTTGACTTACGACTGGTTTAGTCCTCGACCTACGACCGGTTTAGTCCTCGACTTACGACCGGTTGGGGGTCGCGGCATTAAAAAGGTTGAGAACCACTGCTTTAAGCTTTTGGGATCAAATTGAGAAAAGGTGTTCTGGGGAGCACCTGTTATAGGTAATCCTTGGCTTACCCCCATTCATTTAGTGATTGTTCAAAGTTACAAAAAGTGACTTAGGGCTATTTTTCACACTATGACTATTGCAGCATCCCCCTGGTCACGTGATCAAAATTTGGACTTTGCAACTGACATGTATGTATGATGGTTGCAGTGTCCTGCTTTATGTGATCACCTTTTGTGGCTTTCTGACAAGACAAGGACAGTCAATGGGCTAGCCCAGGGGTAGGCAACCTTGGCTCTTTTATGACTCGTGGACTTCAACTCCCAGAATTTCTGAGCCAGCTATGCATAGCTGGCTCAGGAATTCTGGGAGTTGAAGTCCACGAGTCATAAAAGAGCCAAGGTTGCCTACCCCTGGGCTAGCCAGATGCACTTAACAATCGTTTTACTAACTTAACAATTGCAGTGTTTCACTTTACCAACTGTGGCAAGAAAAGCTGTAAAATGGGGCAAAACCCATTTAACTATCTTGCTTAGCCACAGAAATTTTAGGCTTAATTGTGGTTGCACATCAAGGACTATCAGTCCTTTAAAGCAGCTGGACTTCTTCTCAGGATTTCAACCCCAGGAGTTAAGCTCAATCATTTCAGTCAAGTGCAACAATTTTTGCAAATTAATTGTAGGGATCCAACCAGGTGTATGAACACGGACATACAACAAGAACAGCATGGTATATTTTATCTACGTATGAACTGGTTATATAAGCAGAAAAGCAAAGCTTAAACAGAATAGTACTGATATTAAAAATGCATCATGCTTTCTCTTTTCAAATTGCCTGCAACATTTTAATATATAGGAATACCATGATGCCAATACCGTATCATTTTAGCTTTATAAACATTAAGACGACTGAACAACACAAAATCAGCAAGCCCTGTAAAATATGTACATTACTCACATCTGTGCCGTATTTCCGTGTCGCCTGAGCTGCAAGAGATCTGATCTTGTCTCGGTAGAGCTGTGCAGTACGACTATTATACTTGGCGTTGGTATCATTTGTGACACAACCATGCTGATGAAAGAATGCAGACTAAAAAGAAAACACCGAGAAAATGTGCTTTTTTTTTAAAAAAAAATTAAAATCCACAATGTCATTGCTGACTAGTTCATTTTCGGAAGGTTGAAGAATACAGAATAGCAGAGTTGGGGGGGACCTTGGAGGTCTTCTAGTCCAGGGCTTTTCAACCTTTTCACCCATTGTACCACTTTTAGGATATGGCAATATCCGAGTACCACCAGTCGCCTAGCAAGGTGTCAAAAACTTGACGACACCCCCCCCCAAAAAAGATAAAGTACAGGTAGTCCTCGACTTACAACAGTTCACTTAATGACTGTTCGAAGTTACAATGGCACTGAAAAAAATGCCCCCCCAAGGCACAGCCGAGCAAGACACCTGCCTGCCCGCCCGGCGGCACTCTCATTCCCCTCCCCCGCTACTTTTCTAGGATGGTTGCGTACCACCTGCCATGTGCCAATGTACCACAGGTGGTACCTGTACCACTGGTTGAAAAGCCCTGTTCTAGTCCAACCCCTTGCTCCCTCTCACAGTTACTGCTGTTAAACCAGGTACCACCTATTGCAGTAATGGCGAACCTTTTAGAGACCGAGTGCCCAAACCGCAACCCAAAACCCACTTATTTATTGCAAAGTGCCAAGGCCGCATCAGCATTGTGGTTCCCTCAGGGAGGGAGGGGTGTGTGGCCCACTGGGTGGGCGTGGCCAGAGTGGTCACAGCAGACTGGGTGGGTGTGGCCAGGTAGGCGTGGCCACCTCGATACTCTAACATCTCTACTCGAGCTTGCTAGCCCGCCATTTTGCCTGCTTTGTGCTGGGCGGGGCTGTTGCTTCGGGCGGTGGCAGCCTAATGGACCTGCAGGAGTTGCTAGTGGCTGCAGTGTGCGTGCCCACAGAGAGGGCTCTGAGTGCCACCTCTGGCACGTGTGCCATAGGTTCGCCACCACTGACCTATTTTATACCTGTGCATTTGGTTTTTCTTGCCTAAGTGCAAAGTCTTACTTTTCCCAGCACTGAACTGCAGTTTGTTGGATAGAGCCCAGTGTTCAAGTCTGTCAAGATCCTTTTGGATTGTGAGCCTATCTTCTAAAGCAGGGGTCTTCAAACTTGGCCCTTTTATGATTTGTGGACTTCAACTCCCAGAATTCCTCAGCCAGCCTGCCTGGCTGAGGAATTCTGGGAGTTGAAGTCCACAAGTCAAAAAAGGGTCAAGTTTGAAGACCCCTGTTCTAAAGTGTTGGCTATTCCCCTCAGCTTGGTGTCAAAATTTAATGAGTTCCCATTTTATCCCTTCATCTCAACTGTTGATGAAAATGGGCCTAAGACAGAACCTCACTGCATCCTTCCCTCCATGTCGATATGATTACATGTTGAATGGGATTGGTCAGCCAGTTACCAATCCAGCTGGTGGTGATGCTATCTATACCACGTTTTTCTATCTTGCCAAGAAGTAGCCTGTGGTCAAAATGCTTTACTGAAGTCCAAGTATACTATATCCAACACATTTCCTTGGTTTGTTAATTTAGTCACTTTATTAAAGAAAGCAATAAGGTTTGTTTTGCATGACCTGCTTTTAACAACCTATGCTGACTTCTATTTTTCATTTCTAGGTGCTCACAAACCAGTTCTTATCTTTTCCAGGATCTTCCCAGATATTGATATCAGGCTGATTGGTTTCTAGTTTCCTGGGTCCATTTTTTCCTTTTTGAAGATTGGAACCACATCAGCTCTTTTCCAGTCCTCTGATAATTCCCTGGTGATCTAGGATTTTTGAAATGTATGGTTAAATGGTTCCGAAATCATGTCTGCCAGTTCCTTTTAACATTTTAACATTTTTGTTATCTTTTCCAGTTCCTTCTCTTCTTTTCTGCTGCCTCCAGGTGCTGCCATCTCCACTATCCAGACTTCTTTGTTTTTCTTATAGACACTGATTAAGTCTAGCATGTTCTCTGGTTTGTGTCTGTCTGTTTGAAGTGCAAAGTCCCAGAGCACTTGAGCGTCTTCATTTTCTATTATTTTCTCTATTTTATGGTCCCACCAGTTTTTGCTTGCAGGCAATTGTTATTTCTGGCAGATCTTCCAATGCATCATTATTGCTATTTTATCGTACCATTGTTTGCCGTCAATCTGTGCAATCTTGCAACAGCTAAGCAGGTGGTCCACTGTTTCTTCGGCTTTTCTGCAGAGGCAGCACTTGCTGTTGTTGCTGTTTTCTCCATTCTGGCTTTGTAGGGATTTGTTCTTAAGGCTTGGTCTTGTGCAGCCAGAATTAGGCTCTCTGTTTCTTTCTTCAACTTTCCTGCTCTTGGCCACTGCCAGGTCTTGTTATTATCTGCCTTACCTGTTATTTACCTGTATTTAATGCACTAGCTATGTAATACTTTATCTTCCCACATCCTCTTCTGTTCTTCATTTGGTCCTTTTGGTCTCTCCAGTATTCGGCAAACTTTCCTGGTGTACTAGTCCATCTTCTTCACTGTCCTTCAGATATTCTTCCAATGCGCTTTTTTCAACCATCTGATGTACTTGTAAGACGCCATGCCTAGCCATTGTCTTTGGTAAGAGTTTGTCCACATTGCTCTGAAGATGAAGGGAAAGATTCACTGTCTTTACTTTTCTAGGCTTCCTATCCATTTTTATTATGATGATAGGATAGCTGTTTATTTCTGTCAACCAGAAAAACTTGCCACGTCCCTTCCACGGAACTTTGACTATGGGCTTATTTACTGGTAACAGAAATGCAGATAATTTAATGGCTGGATGGAGTCGCTGGACGGAGACGGAGACTCGGCCCGGTGGAGGATCTGGCCGGGTCTCGGCCCGGCGGAAGACCTGGCCTGGAGGACTCGGCCTGGAGGACTCGGCGGAAAACCTGGCCTGGAGGACTCGGCCTGGAGGACTCGGCGGAAGACCTGGCCTGGAGGACTCAGCCTGCGGACTCGGCGAGGGCGAGGGCCGCGGCCTGGCGGCCCGGCGGGCTCGGCCTGCGGACTCGGCGAGGGCCGTGGCCCGGCCTGCGGACTCGGCGAGGGTGAAGGCCGCGGCCCGGCGGCCCGGCGGGCTCGGCCTGCGGACCCGGCGAGGGCGGGGGCCGTGGCCCGGC